GATTATAGAGATTCGGTGTAATTTCTTCCTTCGATGTATCGTAGAATTTACCAGTGAACCCACATGAGCCTGGCACTTTCTGTTTTAAGAGCCTTCTAATGACTGATTCAGTGTATTAGATACAGGCCTATTCAGGTTATCTATTTCTTCTTGTGTAAATTTTGGTAGACTGTCTCTCAAGGAACTGGTCCATTTCACCTAGGTTATCAAACTTGTGGACATTGAGTGACTTGTAAAGTTCTTTACTGCCCTTCTAGTGTCCATGGAATCAGTGGCGATAGCCTCTCTTTCATTTCTGATATTAATAGTTTGTGTCTGCTCTCTTTTTTTTCTTAGTTAGCCTGGCTAAAGGTTTGTTGATTTTATTGATCTTTTCAAAGAACCAGCTTTTGGTTTCATTGATCTTTCTTTTCCCCCCTCTATTGATTTCCTGTTTTCAGTCTCATTGATTCCTACTCTAATTTTGATTATTTCTTTTCTTCTGCTTACTTTGGATTTAATTAGCTCTTTTTCTTATTTCATAAAGTAGATGTTTAAATTACTGGTTTTAGATCTTATTTTCTAGGGTATGCATTCAAAGCAGTAATATTCCATCTAAGCACTGCTTTTGCTACATTCCACAAAGTTTTAATAAGCTGTATTTTCATTTTCGTTTAGTTCAAAATATTTTAAAATTTCTCTTGAGATGTCTTCTCTGAGCCATGTGTTATTTAAAGTGTGTTGCTTAATCTCCAAGTATTTTGGAATTTACCAGTTGTCTTTCCATTACTGATTTCTAGTTTAATTTCCTTGTTTTCTGACAGCATGTTTTGAATGACTTCAGTTCTTTTAAATTCGTTACAGTGTGTTTTGCGGACCAATATGTGGACTGAATTTGCCTGAACTATCTTTCAAGGAGAACATTCCTAAGGAATCTAGGTCCTACGCATTTGTTCTTAATTCTAAAATGAAGCACTTTGCTTCCTTGGTCCTGGCACACTATTTGGACCCGTCTCTTACACAAGAACCTCTGTCTCTGAGCTGTTGCTTACAGAGCTATACCTATAGAGGAAGAGCATATAGAGATTGGTATAAATAATTAAAATAATTTTAATGGCAGTCATTTATTAGATGGGTTCCCTGGTGGCTCAGTGGTAAAGAATCTGCCTGGCCAATGCAGGAGACGTAGATTCCATCCCTGGGTTGGAAAGATTCCCTAGAGAAGGAAATGGCAACCCACTCTAGTATTCTTGCCTTTGAAATCTCATGGACAGAGGAACCTGGCAGGCTACAGTCTGTGGGGTTGTGAAAGAGTCAGACCCAACTTAGCCACTCAACAACAATAATAACATTTATTAGACACTTATTGTTTGCCATCACTTTACATGTATTTTTTCAACGAGTTTTCCAAATAGCCCTGTAAATAGAAAGGATTTTTATTTACTTTTTACAGCTAAGGCAACTGAGAATCAGAGAGATTAATTTACAGAGGCATACAAATATAGGTACTAGCAGGTACTAGCAGGAACTGTCAAAATCAGATCCATCTGATTCTGAAGCCCATATTCTCAGAAATCATGTTAAAAACAGGTAACTCATAAGATCCTAGTTCAAGGCAGGCTGTAATCCATGGCCAAAACGGGAGACTGAAAGTTTGCTAAAGGAATATTTGTGTAATGGTGTGCCTTTCATTAGTTTCTCTCCAAAATCGGTATCGCTGACGGTTCTGGTGCCTTTAGCAGTGAGTGAGCGTCCCAGTAGTACTGCTTTCTCAGAACACTGATCTTGAAGTTAAAATGCAGGCTGTGTTTTATCTAACTTGGAGTTTCCCAGCCAGGAGTGTTTCTGATCTCCAGGGAACATTGTTGGTGGTCACAGCTGGGTGTGAAGGGGTGGTGTGCTCCTGGCATTCCAGCAGGAGGCGGCCAGGGCCACTGCTGACCATCCCAGCACGCACAAGACCCACCCCATCCCCTAAAGGAAGGCTTACCCGACCCAAAATACCAGTTGCAAATACCAGTTGCGGAGGGTGAGAAACCCTGAGTCTTAGCGCCTTCCATCTGCTGTGACTGAGAAAACCTTGAGCCCTCACCCTCAGCGTTCTGTCAGGGTTTGGTCACCAAGGCGAAGTGCCTCCTCTGTAAATACTTTGCTGTAACTCCGTCCATCAACTCGCTCTGGCACCGTTCCTGTTCCTTTAGCTTAGCGGCCGGAGGTCTCTTAAATGGTTGGGTGTTTTTCTGTTGTTGTTGTTTTAATAAGGTGATATGTTTTCTTCCTGATGTTTCCAAGAGACAGGCTCAGTTGGCCTGCAGTTCTTACAGAAGGGAACCTGGTGACGATACTCTGACCTGTTGCTGGCATCTTTAGCTCCCTAATCTGTGTTTACACGGCCCTGAAAATCAACTCTCCAGGTGCCAGGCTCTGTTCCACCTCAGCACTCTGGCACCACCGGCAGAGAACACTTCCCCAGTCCCTCCACACAGTGTGGCCATGCAGGATGATTTTATTGCCCAGCTCTTCTCCAGAAGACGTCTCTTGAGGCATGGACGTGCGGGGTACTTCTGGAGCTGTGGGTTGGAGTTTCAGTCGTTTGCGTTCCAGTTGCAGAGAGAGCCACAGAGCTCTTAAAGCATCTGGTATTTTCTGTAACTGTTTTCCTGTTTGTAGCACTCGTCCTCTCCCCCAGATTTTAAGCTCCTACAATATGGGGTTTGTTTCTTTAGGTTTTTATTCCCCCCCCCGTTCTCTTAGCAACTAGCATTTCTTTCATCATATACCAAGAAAATCAACTCTCCTTCTTCCATTTTGCTTGTCTGATAAAAGTTGGAGAAAATTTTAAGGAACTAAAGTAATTTGAGAGAGATTAGTGGTCAGAGGTTGATGTCAACCAAACCACAGGAACAATTCATAAACTCAGTGGAATTGAGCGTGGGTCCAAGTGAAAGTAAGTAATTCTTTCCTGGGAAGTGGACCTTGGAATTTTAAGAATTATTTTCATTGTCAGGGAAGCCTGGAGAAATCAACAAAATTCCTATTAAGAAAGTCCTATAGGTAGCTTACCCTCCTCGTGACCCAGAGGTTCAGCAAAATTTCCCTAGTCAGATACCATCATTACAGAATTTTCTATAAAGGTTAAAAGCAAAGGCCTGTGTTTACCTCATTGAAGTGATACTCCCTAGGGCCCTCAGTAGGGGTTTGAGGTTAGTGGGCTCTTTAACAGACCACTCAAATGCTGTCTTGCTTAGGCCTTTGGAGAAATCATGACCATTTTGGACTATGTCTTTGAATCTGCTGGATTTTAAGGAATGTATTATTTTGATGGTATTGGCTTATCTAGAACAGTATTTCTCAACCTTTATTTTATCATTACCCTCCGAAGAAGCCTTTTTAGACACTCTTCCCCTAATCAATCCCTCCCATGAAATTTTAATATCACAGATATGCTGCATATCTGCTCAGATACTGCAGTACTTTGATGGGAACCTGGGGATTGTACTCTCTCAAGATTTTCCCCCTACCCCGAGCTAGTTTTCGCCCCCATAGGGGCAGGACTGCGCATATTGAGGATATGTTAATCCATCGATAGAAGTATCATCATCTTGGAAATGAATTGTTGTTTGTGCCTTTCTTAACAAATTGAAACAGGGACAAGGAGTCTACCAATACACTAATGTTAGAAAGAGTTCTCATGCAGCGGCCTGCAGTTCCTGGGGGAGAGTGAGCAGAGTACTGTTCTCATTTTTCATGACTTGTATGGAGATCATCTTTTCTCTGAACAGTCTTGACCATCTGAGGAAAGAATAGGGAAATACCAGGAGGAGCAGAGCAATAAATGAAGCTCTCTAAAAGGAGAAGGGAAAAAAAAACAAAAAACTGTTGCAGTGACGTGCATAGGAGGAAAGTGGAAGAATATGGAAGAATCTGGGTGTAGAGTTGTCCATTGTTCCAAGGCCAGTCAGCTCTAACAAGTTCAGTTTCTCAAAATCTGAGTTGATTTGCAGCAGAAAACACCGTTTAGGTTGTATAGCATATACGAATGTTCTATTCTCCCAAGAGGGTTTGGCTCTGTCTGATCAGAAGGGTGGTTGTGTATGAAACACACCTCGGAAGGAGGAGGAGGAAGAAATGACATGTTCATGTAAAATGAAATACAACTGCAAATTAAAGTGTCACCCTGTTTTTAAAAAAAAAAAATCCATTTTTTATTTAATTGGTTACCAAGGAAAAAAATGTCATACAGAAGCGTATATCTCAGGGAAAGTTAAGCCGTGAAATTTTACAAGTGAATCTGGATTCAAGGAAGTTCTCCTGGAGTGGGGGTGGGGCAGGGCAGGAGGGCTGTAAAATATTGCCTTAATAAAAATATTCTGATGCCTAAAAGCTAAGCTCATAAATTTCTGTTGTGTTATATGCCAGGGGTCCAGAAAAAATGAACAAATATTACCTCATTTGTTCTTTACTGTCTCTGTCTATCCAGTCAGCTGAATGCTAGCTGCCTGTTCCCTGGAGGAAGCCTCTCCTTTTGAGATGTTTTCCTGGGAGGAAGGTCATATGCAAAGAGATGCTTTCTCCCGAAGAGCGCCGCTCATCACAGAGACATCCAGGGACTGAATGCTTTTCTGTGGGGCCTCTCTGTGTTCACAGTGTCCTCTCATTTTTCATGTTTCTTTCCAACATTTTATGAAAACATTTGTCTTTTCAGATTGTCTCTTTAAGCCTACCAGACAGTACGTTGCCACATTGGTGGCACTCAGTCAGTGTTGAGTAATAGTGGAAAGGGAGGCTGATTAATATAACATAACATAATATGGGATTATATTTACAAGCAGAATTGTTCTTGAGAAATATGCCTGGTTTCTCTTTGAGAGAGAGACTTGACAATAGGACTTGTCAGCCATCTTCAGCTTCAGCATCTGCCTTTTCTCCCTCTCCTACTGACCCCAGTTTTGCCTCATGTTTGACGTGGAAACATGAAGATAGGTCTATAACGTGCTCTCCTTGTCTTCTCCCCCACCCAGGGGCAGTGATTGGTGATGGACAGTCTGCTGTGGCCAGTAACATTGCCAATACTACCTACCGGCTCCAGTGGTGGGACTTCACTAAGTTTGACCTCCCAGAAATCAGTAATGGTAAGCCAAAGTAGAACTGGGGATACTGGTGGAAAGTCTGTGTTAACTGGTGAGCCAGATCTCAGAGATCCGCAACAGCACTGGATTTTTCATCACCTCATTGAGTGGCTGACGGCTCCATGCCATTTCTGCAGCTCTTCTCGGGCTCTCACTAAGCAATTCAGCAAATGTCTATGAGCACCCACCCTGAGCAGTGAACAGTACTGAAGTGGACACCAAAATGGAGATTTCTGCCCCAGGACTTTACCAATGAGCATTCACTGTCTCACACCTGTAAGTTGGGTGGAACTGAGAGAAAGAGAAGGTGAAGGGAGTACAAGAGCTGAGAGCTAGATCCTTGAGGAAAGACTGCAGTGATGATAAACTCGTTTATTTATTAATCTAGATCCGAATGAAACAGAGGGAGGGGCCTGATTGATGTGTGATTTGCAGAATGTCTGTCTGGACAGTCCGTTTCCCAGCTTCTAAAAGAGTTCACAATCCCATGTCCCAGTAGTTCAGTTGGAATCACAGCATCTTAGACATCTCATTTCATGTTCTGTCTAATGATGCAGTCTCACACATTCCTGAGAAGTGGAGGGTCAGCCTCTGCTTGAACACTTGCAGTGATAGGTCCCTGTCTGGTGAGTTAACTCTAGCCGGTCACTGCTCGGTTCCTTTTCAGATGTTTTTTCTTATACGCGGCCACCATCTCCCTTGCTGTCAACTCCCTCCCATTGGTCCTGGGTCTGCCTCTGAACCTCTGCAGAATAAGTGTGATGATGTCTCTTCTGACTGACAGTCCTCCAGCTGTCTGAAAGTAAACTGCCACTTCCCTTTAAATCGTTCTTTTTAGGCCAGAATTCCTGAGGTTCCTTCTAAGATCTGGTTTTCAAATCCTTGACATTTCTGCTCATTTCCCTTCTTACGTTTGCGGAGGGGCAGGACAAGGTAGAACGCTGCAGACGAGAGCTGTCCAGAACAGCACAGTGGTGGTTTGGACAGTGTTAGTTCAGCCTGGCGTTTCAGCAGCCTTTTCTGAAGCCACTGCTGGGCTTGCAGCCACTTGTAATTCCTTGATAATTGTTAATACCAGAACTCTACCATCGTATACTTACTTGTGCACTTCAAATGTTTTAAAAACTAAAGGAGTTATATCTGTTTCTGTTAAGTTTTATCTTAATAGTGTACTAATAATTGTACTTCTTAGTTCCTGCCTCTCAACATCTTTTCAAACTTTGATTCAGTCCTTTTTTCCCAACCTTGCTTACATCATCTTCTAATTTGATAAACATGCTTTCTCTGTCTTACTTTGGATTGCCAGCAAAAGTGGTGCATCAGGACTTTGCACCAAGCCTGGTGGTATGTTCCTGTGGACTTCCTTTGTGTTGATTTTGGTTCATGAATTTGCACCTGGGCTTGGTTGGTCACTCGTGAAACCCATATTTTTCATCATGTCTACAGGGTATTGTGAGAGTTTGTCACATACTTTGAAATACTCAAGGTAGCCTCTGTCTGTGGCATTTCCCAGTATGCCAGTCTTGGTATCCTTATGAGACCATAAAAATGAGGTCAATTTTTCTTGTCCTGATGTTAGTGAAACCTCAGTAGCAATCATTTTCTTCCCAAGTGCTTTTAAGCCACATGTTCAATAATCTATTCTTTAACTCCACTAGAAATCAAATGCAGTCTACCTTTTCCCTTGTTAAATACCATTAGCTTGTTTACCTCTCTATTTCTGGCCTGGATCTTATTTGCCGTAATTTTCCCGAGATACTTTGTTTCTTCATTCTGTTTGCTTTATTTTTTTTATTACAGTCTGAAATATATTTACCAAAGATTTTTAAAATATAAAAGGATATACAGTGAAAAGTTTCCCAACCCTGTTCCCAGCTACACACATCTCTCCACCCCATAGGCACAGTTAGCAGTTTCCTGTTTATCTTTTCAAAGATATTATATATATGTATATGCAAATTATGTTTTTCCAGCTCTATCTAAGCTAAGTGGTAGCATATTATACCCCTTGGAAGGAAAACCGTGACAAACCTAGACAGCATATTAAAAAGCAGAGACGTCACTTTGCTGACAAAGGTCCATGTGTAGTCAAAGCTATGGTTTTTCCAGTGGTCGTGTACTGATGTCAAAGTTGGACCATCAAGAAAGCTGAGGGCCGAAGAATTGACGGGTTTGAATTGTGGTGCTGGAGAAGACTCTTGAGAGTCCGTTGGCCATCAAGGAGATCAAACTAGTCAATCCTAAAGGAAAGCAACCCTGAATATTCACTGAAAAGACCGATGCTGAAGCTCCAATACTTCAGCCACCTGATGCAAAGAGCTGACTCATTGGAAAAGACCCCGATGCTGGGAAAGAGTGAAGGCAAAAGAAGAAGGGGTTGGCAGAGGATGAAATGTTTAGATAGCATCACTGACTCAATGGACGTGAATCTGAGCAAACTCTGGGAGACAGTGAGGGACAGGGGAGCCTGTGTGCTGTAGTCCATGGGGTCGCAGGAGTTGAAGAGCACTTAGTGACTGAACAACAGCAACAAAGCACGTTATACACACTTTGCTCTCTGTACTTTGCTTTCTTTATATCTTGATGATCTTTCTGTATCAGTATGTCATTTATTCATTCTTTATTGACTGCCTAGCATCCCACTGCCCAAGTGAAGTCTCTGGATTACTTTTTGTTGTTGTTGCGCTGGGTATTCGTTGCGGTGTGGGCTCCTCTCTCGTTGCAGAGAGCGGGGGCTCCTCCCTTGCAGTGCGCGGGCTTCTTATTGCAGTGGCTTCCCTTGCTGTGGAGCATGGGCCCTAGGCACGTGGGCTCGGTAGCTGCGGCCCCCCGGGCTCTAGAGAAGCAGCTCCGTAGCTGTGGCTCAGGAGCTCAGTCCCTCCAGGACACGAGGGGTCTTCCCGGATCAGGAGTCAAACCCATGTCTCCTGCGTTGGTAGGCAGATCCTTAACCTCTGGAACCAACAGGGAAGTCCCACTAGATTCCGTTGTTTAACCAGTGTTCTGCTGAGGGACTTTTAAGCTGTTTCAGTCTTACACTATGCAAACTGTGCTGCAGTTTGTCATTTTGCACATGTGCAAGAATATCATAGGATAAATTCCTAGAAATGGAATTGTAGGGAGGAAGAATATGTAGATTCGTGATTTTGGTAGGTACTGCTAAACCACCCTCTGTGGAGAGAGCATACCAATTTATATTCTCACCTGTGGTTCATGAGCGTGCATGTTTCCTTAAATTCTTGTTTTTAGATTGTTCTGTCATATTTTAGAGTATTTGCAGAATTTGTATTTCTCGTATTATAAGCTAGGTTGTATAGCTCTTCATACATTTAGCCACATGTGTTTCCTTTTCTCGGCTTGTTTGTGGGCTCACCTGTGTGTGTGTGTGTGTGTGTGTGTGTGTGTGTGTGTGTGTGCGTGCGTGTGTGTGTATTATTGGTAGGTACTGCTAAACCACCCTCTGTGGAGAGAGCATACCAATTTATATTCTCACCTGTGGTTCATGAGCGTGCATGTTTCCTTAAATTCTTTTTTTTAGATTGTTCTGTCATATTTTAGAGTGTTTGCAGAATTTGTATTTCTCGTATTATAAGCTAGGTTGTATAGCTCTTCATACATTTAGCCACATGTGTTTCCTTTTCTTGGCTTGTTTGTGGGCTCACCTGTGTGTGTGTGTGTGTGTGTGTGTGTGTGCGTGCGTGTGTGTGTATTTGTGTGTCTGTGTGTTTGTGTGTGTGTTTGTGTGTGTGTGTGTGCGCGCGCGCGCGTGTGCGTTGCTGGTCTTTTCCTTATCAGTTCTACAGGAGCTCTTTATAAATCAGAAAATTAACTCATAGGAGGAGTTTCCTGGTTGTCACTTGTCTTTTGTCTCTGCTGAAGGTTATTTTTGTCATAAGACTTATTTTAAGTAGTCAGAATTATCCAACTTTCCTTTTATGGTTCCTAGATTTTGTGGCAGCATCCAGAAGATCAGATAGTACTTTTATATTTTAATTTTTTCCTTTAAATCTTTGATTCATCAGAAGGTTAACCCAGTCCAAAATAAACAGAGTATGACCCAACTTTTCCCCCATGTGGCTGCTCATTTGTCCCAACCAGTATACAAAATGATTCATTTGTCCCCATTGATTTGGGATGTCACTTTTATCCTATTAGTATCCTGTGAGTATATAGATGTATTTCTCCTGTCTTTTCTGCCCCAGGAATCTGTCTGATTATTCATGTAACAGTGTCACATTGGTTTAAGTTTGAGGCTCTGTCTTTTAGTATCTGGTAGGACTGGTCTTCTTTTGTTATTTTTTAATCCAAAATTTCCTGCCTGCTTGAACATTTTGATCATCTGTATGGACTTTAAAACTACCTCCTTCTTACCTTCACCGCCCTGAAAAAATCCTGTCAGTGTAATTAATGTGATCCCATTGAATATATAAAATAACTTAAGGAGACTCAGTATTTTTGTGGTATCTTATTATGTAAGAACATGGCATGATTTTCTGTCTCTCCAAGTCTCTCTTATGTTCTTAAGTTTTCTTCATGTAATTTTATACATTTTCAAAGTTTATTGTTAAAAGCTTTTTTAAAAATTCTGCTCTTTTACTGCATTTGTTTACTAATTATAGTTGTTATTCAGTTTAGTCTCTGGGTATGTTATCGGTAAATGGCATTAATTTTACCTTCTCCATTTCAACTTGTACACTTGTGATTTCTTCTTGTCTAAGTGCATTGGCTGCTACAATCAGAACAGTGTTAAATAATAGCAGGCATCCTCATATCATTCCTGATTTCAGTAGGAAACATCTAGCTTTTTCCCAGTATGCATAGTTAACTTTTGGGTTAAACCAGAACTAGTTTATCATTTTAAGGAAGCCATCTATTCTTGTACATGTGTGCATGCTAAGTCGCTTTAATCGTGTCCAACTCTTTGCAACCAAATGGACCGTAGCCTACCAGGGTTCTCTGTCCATATGATTCTCCAGGCAGGAATACTGGAGTGGGTTGCCATG